AGACAAGACAGACAAATAGTCTGTATTATTGTATAATAGTCTGTAATATTATTTATATATTTATACTTAAATAAAGCTGTGTAATGTAGTCTCAAAATAAGCAATCTTGTCTAATCTAGCAATGTTTATACATTATAGATATTTAAATGAACATTTTTAATAGATATACAACATAAAAATACACAATCTAATACAAACAATCATATCTATATTAATGTCGTAGCACCCCGTCACAGAATATGCTGAGCGGAGACCCATTTAGAACCATTATGACCCAAATTGTAATGAAAAATTTTTTGTTGTATATTTTATGTGTATTAAACAAACGTATAGTACGTTCTTCCTTTCTTTCTTTCATATTATTAAGTATATTAGGATTCAAACCCTGAATAGATTTATTAATTAAGCTCATTTTAACACTTTTTACCACTACACCATCGCCAGATAATGTAATAGTAACATTTCTTTAAGCTAAATAACGCGAGCATATCCTTAATACTCTAAAGTCGACAATAATGTAATTGATAACAAAATCTCTGCACACCCCTCGCATTGGCCGCGTGCGTGATAATATGAGTCACGTGACTGCAATTACTTATCAACATAAGCGAACCCAAGATGCATATGAGTTGTTTTTTTTTAATTTTGACATTTTCGTGAAAAGCCACCAAAAAGTATTAATAATAAAAAATATTTTAAATAGATACATATACTAGCTTTTGCTCGCGGCTTCGCTCGCGTTAATTTATCCTCTTAGGGGTGGAATTTATCAAAATCCTTTCTTAGGGAATGCTTACGTCATAGTAGCTTTATGCATGCAAAGTTTCAGCCCGATCGGTTTAAAATTGACAAAGTTTCATATAAACTTTCATCCCCTATTTTATCCCCTTGGGGGTAGAATTAATCAAAATCCTTTCTTAGCGGATGCCTACGTCATAACATCTACCTGCATGCCAAATTTTAGCCCGATCCGTCCAGTGGTTTGGGCTGTGCGTTGATAGACCACTATGTCAGTCACCTTTGTGTTATATATATATATATATAGATTATAAAGATGGTGCTTTTAAATTTATTCATGACATATATTGAATATTTATTTATTAATTTTCATTAAATGAAGTAGAAATCAAAGGTCACAAAAGGTCAAAAGTAGAAATCTTCGCAGGAATTTTTAAATCAATATACAATTTAAGAATCTACTTCAAGAATTTGATAAACCTGAAAAGCATAATACATCTGTAGCGCTCTCTTGTAAAGTTTTAATCACTAATATCTAACAACAACAATTCACTTAATTAAACAACATTTAAATTTTTTTTTTTCATGACCATCACATTTTACTAAATTTATTCTTTCAGATCTTTAGAGTAATTTTAAAGAAAAACTGAATAAATATACAACAATTACAGCATTAAAATAGAACGATCCCCCTTCCAGTTCAAACAGGAATTGAAATTACGACAGTAAACCCGAGCTTCGAACTCCTAGCGGTACTCTCAGACTAAAGTCGAATCCATCAGGCGAGAGTTAGCCTTCAGCTGCTCCATAAGTCCTTCTACAGGTTTGGAGTGCCATCTGCACTTGCTCCCTATCTTTCAGTTAATCTGTAAAGGCTAGATGCGACCGCAGCGTTACAATACTTAAAAAAATCCTAAGTAAATAACTATCGTTCGGTGAAGCTGTAAAAGTCAGTCGCAGTGTTAGAACACTTCGAGTAACGCAGGCATAAATAAATAATCTACAGAATTAAAGACCTTCCATTTTACTAGTCAATTAGAAAGAAAGAAATAGAAATAGAAATAGAAATAATCTTTATTCAAATAAACTCATTACAAGCACTTTTGAATAGTCATATTTTGATTCTACCACTCATTCGGAATGCAGATTCATCACAAGAAGAATGAGCAAGAAACTTGTGTGATGCTCTTTTTAATAGATGTTTTTTTTTATATAAATAATTACAGTATAACAAGTAAGAGGCATGCGATAATCAAAGAAGTCGCTACGCACTCATTATTAATGTAATCAGATAATATGGTCAGTGCTATATATAGATTTAAAGTTTTTCTATAAAAACATTATTATCGTTAACGAATTCTTCAATTTGATAGTAAGCTTTTTTGCAAAGGAACTGTTTTATTTGACATTTAAATCTTTTTTCTGGCAGATTTATAACAGACTCTGGTATTTTATTGTAAAACCTTACGCAATTGCCATGAAACGAATTACTAACTTTAGCCAAACGACATTTAGGTAAAATCAGTTTGTTATTGTTACGTAAGCTTTTATTAGTGCAATCACTAACTCTTTTGAAACTGTCTATATTCCTTCTGGCATAGATGATAATAAAAATCATAAAATAATAGATGATAATAAAAAATAAAGAAATAAAGAAAGAAAGAAAGAAAAATATATGTATTTGGCGCATACAAAACAATCATACAACATATTACAAAAATTATAACTAATTATTTTAGATAATAATTTCCAAATCACCAGGTTAAAGAACATCAAACAACATGTACAACAATCTATCAATGTACTCAATGTGTCAATTGGAACACTGATGGTATCTTAGTATTTGTCGTACCCAGTTAATAAGATGTCAGGGCGACGCGTCGAGATGTTGCCGAGATTGATGGATGCTGCGAGCACGGTGGGCCGACACGAAATGTTCCCGTTGTTTACTTCGCACAGTTTTTCTTTAAATATTCTGAGTGGTGTAGTAGTTTTGTTGTCTTCTCAATTTCCAATGGTTGTGGATTCTATGATATATATACTATCTAGTTTTTTTAAAGTAGAAAACATACTTGCTACTCACTTGATGCCATGAGCACCTGCAACACCAAGGGAATGCGTATGCTGACTGGATGTTCCTATGCGGCCCTGGTTTTTTAATTGGAACGATTCTCCTAAGTTTGAATATAACATAAAAAATATAAACTAGGGTAGCAAAACACTACAACTAATCTATACGACAAAATAATAATAAAATGTTGACACAGTATTAGTCCAGTAGTACCTAACAGTACAATCTTCTCTTGGTTTGAGATTATATGTCGACTTGTGGTAGCTAAGTTCAGGTCTATAATTCTATTTTAAAACGGAAATCAAGAAATGGTGAATGTTGCTGACGTACTGGCCATATTTATTTATTTGTACAATTTACAATAATGGTTATTGAAAAAATATTTAACAGCAATCCCTGCACTAAACTCAAGGCTTGTATCGCAGGAATCAGAAATCTTTAAGTTTTGTATTTTCTATTAACAATTTTATTACATATTTTTGTATACCGAACACAGTCTAATAAAGAATTTTGACAGACAACAGTGACTAACCTTCTATTCGGTTAGATGTCCTCAAGAAGACTATGAATAAAGATTAACACAATCGTGATCATATGCTTTGTAGTGTGTAGAAAAAAATATATACCAAATTATCATAACATTATAAATATTAATATATTTATTAACATACGCAAATAATACGTGAAATTATATATTCCATTTACGGCTTCAAAGTTGTAAATATAAAAACTGATGAATTAGTAATTATAACTAAAAATATTCTCTTAAAATCTCATTAGCACACCCCGCAAAATAAATGGAACAGATTTTCATTGAGAGCGAACGAATGGTGAAAAAAATGGCTAAAATCTGACAAATGGGTTTCCTTTAACGTCTGCGCCTATCTTATTATCGTTACCGACTACCGAACAGAACTCTCATTTGGATCTTCTTTTTACATCTCAATAAAAGTTGCGCAAACAATTCTAGCCTCTACGAACCCTTGCAGCAAAGTTACAAGTTCCTTGAAAATTTTCAGTGTATTAACTTTAGCAGCTTTCACATCATATTCAACACTATCTACTTCAGCTTTGGGTTTATTTTATTTTGTAATGCTCTCGAGTAAGATATCAATTTGAGAAGAAGCGTCTGTGTTAATAGCATTATTCGCAATCTCATCCATACACTCGAGGGTTAGGCCGACTATGGAAGAAGTATCATTTTTTATGCGACATATAAAACATATTTATAGCAATCATAATCGCTGGAGTTTTCCTACTGCCATGTTTGGACAAGATAAATATAAAATAATAGCTGAAAAACTTCTTTATTCCAATAAAGAACATTTTTCCTAGCAAAAACATTATTTGGATGTCGTTCTAGTTTTTTATTATGTGTATATATTTGAATCATCGACTGGCTAGTTCTCAAGATACTATTACAAAAGTAGCATACCAAATGTTCATTATCATTAAAAATATATTTTAAAAATTAAATTTCAATTATATAAAAATATAGAATATTCAGTTTGTAATTCTATTATGAATATAAAAATGTTACTATAATAAATTATTTAAATTGAAATTGGTTTTTATTTTAAATATTAATTTATCATAACAACTTATTTAAGTCTCTCTTCAGAACTCAGAAGATGTAATATATGTAATGTAAGAGGATGATTTTGACCACACTAACTACATTACTGAATATAACTTTCAGTTTTCATATTTTTGCATCAGTTTTTAATTTATATTATTATGCATCAATTAAAATGCTTAATATCAACAATGCATTCTTTTGATATTATATTTTTGTTGACGTTACAACAAACAAAAAGCGACTCATGGATTTCAATATCATAATGCTATTGTTAAGCTGACCCTACCGCTACTCAATGCGCTCTCAATTCGCGGCTGTTATTATTATCTTGACCCGGTGATTGAGCTCTCCTGCTCTTCATCTCATTGAATGCCTCGTATTGGCCGACGAGATACTTTCCCGCCTCCCGCCGTACGACTATTGGCTGTCCCCGCCACGCCCACTCAACTTCAGAAGCTCTGCTAAGGGTAGTTGAAAACCCCACTTATATATTTTTCACCCTTATGTTACGCTCGCATTCGTAAAGTTCCCGTCGGGCAGTACGCACGCGTCTCTACGATTTACGCCGCGATAATAGCGTAGAAAGTTTTAGTTTGTGTGTCGTAAGTTAAATGACAAAACAATGACAATGGACATTCAAAGTAGCTATCAAAATTATAAAGAAGCATCGCCAGATGCAAAAGACAATAATCTTAATATTGAAAGTGCAAGAACTTCGCATATTTCGAAGACAGACATGCAGTCTACTGTTTTAAATCCTGGAAAGGCATCGAAGCGGTCTTTCGATGTGGCGTTCCTGATGATGCCCGATGAAAAACTTCGAGCGAAGCAACCTGAGAGGCAGCTGAGAGTTTCAAAGCAATTATTTAATAGTGATGAATGGGATCAGTCTCAGAAGAGAATTCCAGAAATTTATAAACACAGTGAATATTCGAATGAAAATGGAATGGATGCTAAGGATCAAGATGATGACAAAATTCGTGTGAATAATAACATATCACCAAGTTTTGGTTCAGATATCAATATAGATGTTGGCACTGATGAATATCCCAGTAAGTCTATGTATTGCAGTGATTCTGAGAACTCAGATCGTTCAAGAAGTCGCCCGAACTCTAACGAAAGTGCAGCTAGACATCCTAAGTTCCTGCCAGAACACAAGAATAAAATCTTTGATGATCCCACACTGATCAGCATGCAATCAAGAGCGAGGTACGAAAATAGATATTCAGATAAACCACAGGAAATGTCTCCGAAAAGTGCTTTCACAAAGGTATCTAATTACGTCATCCGATCTCCAAATCCATCGATGAGTCCTGATAATCTGCTGTACCAAAACTCTGTGAGTCCACCGCTCTCAGCTTCAAGTCCACCATCAACTTCTTTTACTAAGACACCAGCCTTTAACAATTTGCTTACACCAGCACATTTGTTAAACGGCAACAGTTTCTTTAAAGCTCAAAATATGCAATCTTCGTCTCCAAATTATACAGAACCATTGGCACAACGGTCAAATGTAAATTATAATAAAAGTATGGAGTATCAAGATAAACATGCGGAGCCAAAGGCACAGTTACCATCGAACAAATTGAACTTTCTGCCATTCAGACCTGAGATCCCGTATCTTCCGACCGGCTCGTCATATCCTTTCGGTGTACAGAATTTCCAACAGCCGAATGCTGATTTTATGAAATTTCCAGTGCCGCCCAGAGAGCCAGTAAATCCTTTGATAGCTAACCCAGCTGCAGCAATTCTAAGTACGCTGCTTCCACCAACATTAGCAGCATTCTCATTGCCCGCGCAAAATGTTTGCGCTAAATGTAGCATCAGTTTTAGAATGACCTCAGATTTAGTGTACCATATGCGTACACATCACAAAAGCGAGTCGCAAGCAGATCCGAATAAGAGAAAAAGAGAAGAGAAATTAAAATGTCCTGTTTGTAACGAGAGTTTCAGGGAAAGGCATCACCTGACCAGGCATATGACTGCTCATCAAGATAAAGAGGGAGATATGGATGACGTCACTCCGTCGCAGAGTTATAATAAGAAAAATAAGCAATACTACAGTCATAACAATGGTTCTCTTCTTCATAAATGAATTTAATAAAAATGCATTCTGCTTAAAGTAATAAATATACTTTGAAGTGAAATTGGTATGCCTGAGCTGAAAAAATCATTTAAATTTTAAATTAGATACCTTATTGCAATGTCGATTCCGAGTTCAATAATTGTTCTGGGTTCCGTTAAAATAAATTGTTGTTGTTGTTTAATTATTTAAGTATTACATAATACGTGCAATATTAGGTTTTAAGTATTTATTTTGTAAATAACTATACTAGTTCTAGTAGCAAAACAATGAATAAATACATGCAACATTATAAAATATATATTTTTTTATTTTAAACATTAAAAGATATTCTTTTTTTAAAAACTTATGTTTGATATTAAGTTTGTTTATCTAATTTTGAATTTGAATTTTTAGTTTCCATTTAATTTCTAATTATTAAAAACAAATATTAATATGAATTTATTATATCACTTTCATACATTTAAAAGTGCATTGTACATACATTTAAAAATTTCATACATTGCTCTAAAGTTTTGTTTAAAAAATAACTGAATATTTTATGTGTAGTATAATTCCATTTTTTGAAAATTTAAAATGAAATTGAAGACCATTAGAAAATTTCACGAAAATAAAAACATCTTTAATCTTATTTTATAAGTTATTGTTTTTGAAGCTTTTATTATTGGTGATAATACCACTGAAATTTAGTTTACCTACACCTTTCCTGCCTGTAGGTGAAAAAATCAACGGACTTATAACCACATCTTCCAATAATGGCATTTTCAAACCTATACAATATTAAAATCTACAAGAAAAGAGCTCCCTTCTTAATAGGACCGCAACACACTTGGAATTCCCCTGCTGTTACGGGTGCTCATGGGCGGCGGTAATTACTTACCATCAGTTGAGCCGCAAGTTAGTCTGTTGTTAATGAAGAAATCCAAATAGAATAATCATTCTTATCAGTACTGACATATATTTATGTCAGTACTGATAAGAATGATTTATAATGCATGATTAATACCAATATAATGTAATCACAACATAATGTAAATTACAACAATATCTCATATTTTTATAACATACATCTGTTACCCGCGAGTAGAATAGATACATACGTCCGAGTAGAATTTTAATAAACAAAATTTCTAAAGAAAATAGCCTAAGCTACTTCGTATAACATTATTACAAGTGAAAGTCCCATCAAAAAATCTGTTTCGAACAAATAGTAGTAACAAGTAACAAATAGTAAGACAGACAAAAAATTAATTGGTTGATGTAAGGTATGTACTTTTATATGCATTTAGTGCAAAACTAATTATTAATAATAAAAATAATCTCAGTACAATTTACACAGCGCCATCTAGACCCAAGTTAAGCTAGCTAAAGCTTGTGTTATGGGTACTAGATAACTGATACAAATACATAGATATTTTTTTTTCGTAAATACATACATATTTATATATTTATACATAGAAAATACCCAGACCGATACAAACAATCATATTCATACATACATATTGTGCCGTGCGAGGAATCGAACCCGCGATCATAGGACGTAAAGCGGTGTGCTAGACCACTAGACCACCGAGGTCGTGAAATTAAACTTAAATGACAAACAGACACTTAATTTTTATTTATTTGTGTAGTTTATGTAGTGCGTAGTTTATGTTGATAGCGCAAACGAGCTTACGGCTCACCTGATGATATGTGTATGTATGTGTAACAACCAAACCTTTTTGAAAGTAATCTTTTCTTGAAGGTTTCAATATCATATCGGCCCCATATAACCACTAGTGTAAGTTGATTCCTTAATACCACTTATAATGGCAAAATACTAATCTTTTTAACTTAATATAATAAAAAAATATATTTCTATTGACAGCTTCTGTGATTTAGCGGTTTAGCATACCGCCTTACTTCCGATAGTCACGTATTCGATTCCTCGCAACGTATGAACTTTTGTATTCAGAAGTTTCTATTGATTTGGGGTTTATTAAGTAAAAAATTTAGGAATTTACGAAAAATAATATGTGAATGACGAGAGAATGGATATATAAGTGAAGGAAACGAATGAACGAGTGAATTGAACGCTAGAACGAGGAACGACGAATATTTCTTACTGGATAGTAGTGCTTTCTTGTAATATCTGAAAATTAATATATCTGAATATTTATTTATTTATTTACTCTTACTTACGCACCAATTACAGACAAACAAATGTACAAAGAACAAATAGATAATAAGTAATAAGTACAAAAAACGGTCTTCTCACGTAAGCGATCTCTTCCAGACAACCTTTGGGTAGAGGAGAGAAGACAGAAGTGGTAGATGGCGCAAGACTTTAAAGTACTTTGTTATATCACTTGCAAAGTACCCATAACACAAGTTCTGCTTAGCATGGGACTGGGTGGACCTGTGTGAATTGACGAGAGTTGCTATTATTATTATATTTATATTATCAAAGAATGAATTGAATCCTCAATTATACTATAAAATATTAATAATTTATTAAATACAATTAATATATATATATGTCTCTGCACAGAAGAGATACTCGCAAACAAATAGATTATCACCATTACACAGTATAAAACAAAGTCGCTGTCGGTGTCTGACCATATGTATGTTTGAATCTTTAAAACTACACAACGGACTTTGAATTGTTTGTGATTCAAGAGGAAGGTTCATACATATAATACACTAGCTGTACCCGCGAATTCGTCCGCGTGGAATTTAACTTTATTTTTCTAAAATAAGAGTAGCCTAAGTTACTCCTTACTGCGTCCGCTACCTGTCAATAAAAGTCCTGTCAAAATTGGTTCAGCCATTTCAGAGATTAGCCAGAATAAAAAGACAGACAGACAGACAAAAATTGTAAAAAAATATATTTTGATGTATGTACCTACCGCATTTATATTCATATGCATATAGTAAAAAACGGTTATTTCAATATTACAAACAGACACTCTAATTTTATTTATATGTATAGATGTACACCGGGGCGAGTAGCTTGTAATAAAATTTTAGTCTAAACACATTATTATTTTTTTTCCAAAATTATTATACGTTCTTAAATCACTGGCTGTGCTCTTACGAGTAGTAACCTACACAGAAATCTGCACCATGAACTCATTCTCCCACAATCGCTACGCTTGCTCTGTGAAATATATATATTATCTGTACAGTATTCCCCATTTCGCAGGGCGAGCGTGACGAAAACCGTTGCTAAATGCTTGCGAACAGTATCGTTCCCATGTCGTTGTTAGTTCTAATTTACCATGTAGATTGGTTCGGACCGTTGGATGGGTTGCCATAGTAAATTGCTATGGGAAATGATTTACTGTCATTTAATGATTTAATCAGCATTCATAACGATATTTAGCGACGTCTTCAATATGCGTCTGTTTTTTTTATATTATAATAATAATAATAATAATTTATTTCATTAACATAGATGTTTTACATTTTTTTTTTTTACCTATCAACAATCACATATTTTTTTATATATTATATTTCTGCATAATTAAATACTTGTGATAGGAGATATTATATTTCTGATAAACCTCTGTCGTCGTACATGTATCTATATGTACGATTATCTAAGAATCTACTGAACGGATTTTCATGAGATTTTCATTTATCAACAGAATGATATATGAGGAAGGTTTTGAATATTTAATTTGTGTTACTAATATTATAAAAGCGAACTTTTATGAGTATGGATGGATGGTTGTTTGTTACTCTTTCAAGTAAAAACTACTGAACGGATTTTTATGAAACCTTACAGTATTATAGCTTATACATCAGAATAACGTATGGACTATTAATTTCATGGGAGTGTTTTCATGGAGTAAAATCTCGGGCATCCTGGCCATCTGGATGAGTGGCAGTCCTCCAGAGTGCCTTTTTTCCAAAAACTTTTTGCCACGCACAGCCACATTGTGGAGTCACCTTCCAGCATGTTATTTCCGATACGATATTGAAACTTTTAAGAAAATTGTGTATTCCTTCTTAAAAGGCCGGCAACGCACTTGTAATTCCCGGGTGCTCATGGGCGACGGTAATCACTTACCATAAGGTGATCCGCAATTTCATTTATACCCTATGGTTTACAAAAAAAAACTCCAAAATGACAAAAGAAATTCAAGAACTAAGTCGAGTTGTTACTACCGAACCGTAACCAAATACAAAACCAATGTTATCTCGGTTACATCCTTCGTATTTCACGTGGAATGTGCAAACTTCACAGGGTGTCCCGAGATAAGTGCTAGGAGAACAATATTTTTGCTCGCCCGCCGAACCGTGAGTAATTCAATAGAAAATATTCACATTGGGGACATAGAGCGGTGCCCCTCCGCTTGATACAGGACGATCAAAATATATTATTTCTTTTTTTACATACTAATATTATAAACACTTTATAGTTAATTGAAGGAGCTAGCTGAAGTGAACGGTAGGGATAGTAATAAAAAAATTGTCGTACAAGAGACTGAAAGGTCCTATTTGTATATGTGATTCTCACTGTGACTTTGAATAGAAAAAAAAGTTACCTCTGGATAATTCATACAACATCATCTAGTTCTCGGGAAGCAGAGTTTGTGTTATAAATAATAAATAAGTGATTATATACATAGTTTTTTTGTAAATACGTTCATAATGTAACCCTTTCAAAACTGGAGTGCACAATCGTAGACATAAAATATCATTTAAAACGATATTATAATTTCCGATTGAAAACGATTGTATTAATTTGTTCACTTATAAATATTTTATTTGGTACTACTAATTTGTTTTCAAAAATTTAAGGCAATTTTTTTTTCTCCTTATTATACTTTAGACGCATGGCATATACCAAATCCATGGGATGTAAAAAAATAATTCAGGTCTGAAAGGGGTAAACACTGACACCGATACTCAAAAATCATACTCATGTTTGTACCATGTGAAAATCGAACCCGCAACCATCGGCATTAAAGCAGTGTGCTAAACCGCTAGACCACCGAGGCCGTCAATGTATAACAATTATGTTGTAGTAATATGTAAATGTTGATATTTTTTAATTACATCAACGGAGCACCCTATAAATGAACACAATGTTTGCAGACGTAAACTCCTTATGACGGATGTGACCCGTAATACGGAGCGAGGCACATTTGAATAC